TTTGTATAATTTCATGAAATCTTCAATATAATTACTGTAATTTACACTATATTTTAAAATGTGAACGTTTGTTCATTAATTCAAGATTAATATATATCATTTAACAGTTATAAAACATAATATTAAGTAATTATTACAGATTGATAATTAACCTCATATAAGTTTTGAAAACATCTTAATAAACTATATTTGACAAAAAAAAAAAAAAACTTAACAAGGATACTAGTAACTCCTAACTTTTTACATTTGAAACAAAAATGTAATAAACTTTACTAAAATAGTTAAATATATTACTTACAAAAAGTTAAAATATTGTTTTTTACTTTATAAATTAATTACCTTAGAAATAAATAATTAAATATACTTTATTTATATAAGGTATTTAAGGTTATTTTAGTCTTACTATAAAGTTTTATCTGCTTTATTTATGTAAAAGGAGATGCTAATTGAAATGACAGTAACAATTTTTGTTTATTATATATGAAATTTGAGAGATAAAAATGGATATAAGAAAAGGTTGAGAAACAAAGGTTTTTACATAAGAAAAGGATAACACCAACTAAAATCAATATTAGAGGTAAAGATTTTGGATTACAAGTAAACTCTAAATAACAAAACTCAAAACCGAGATAATGTGTTTGAAGTTCGATGAATTCTCACTTTTTTTAGGTATGTTAGTTTTTCATATCTATTAAAGGGATTTGTGATTTGATGATATATTTATTTTTTACTCATAACATGATGGCGAGAGGGTGACGAGTCTTGACATCATTATTGGCTTAATACACTACAAAAATTTACAATTTTACCGGGGGTTATTTTTTTCGTCTCCGGCGATTTTAACCTCCAAAAAATACGTTACCCACGGTTAGAAAAACCGTTGAGAAAAACTGCGTCGGTAAGTAATTTCCGGCGGTTTTTTTAAAAACCGCCGGTATTAGCGGGGGTTTGTGAAAACCCCCAAATATTAGCAAGAGTTTTGTGAAAACCGCCGTTATTAGCAGGGGTTTTGTGAAAACCGCCGGTATTAGTGGGGTTTTGTGAAAACCGCCGGTATTATTGGGAGTTTTCCAAAACCGCCGGTATTACCCGAGGTTTTCCTGAAACCGCCCGGAATATGCAATTCAGATTTTTTTTTGTATTTATAATTTTGATAAAAACTCTTTTTTTTTGTATTTATAATCAAAAAATTTGAAATTAAAATTTTATATTATAAAATAAATTATAAACATGTTTTAACACAACATATTGTTCAAATAATGATTTATATTTATACTTAATTACACCTAATAAACTAATATATAAACTAATAAAGTCCTCTTTAAAACCTATGATACAATAAGAACCTCACATAATTGCTTAAAAATTTCCATTAAAATGGTCTAAAGTGTAAAATCCTATAGAGTTGTTGAGTGAGTCCTTTTATTGCGTTTGAGATTATCTCTTTTTCTCCTTTGATGACCCACTGGATTCTCCTTTGATGACCCACTGGTATCCTTGTAGGTAACCTTAAAACAATATAAACAAATATTAAACTCCAAAATTTAGTACCCTAATTTAGTACCCTAAAACATTGTACATAATCAAAAAAACAAATGCCTAGTGAAAAATATAACCTTGCACCAAAAGCTCGAACTTCTCATTATTTGTACATAAAACAGTCACAGACACATACTGTTCTACCTATAAAGCATTGCATAATAGTTATATAGTTTTTTTTATAAACATTAAATAGTGTTACTTATACAATGCCGTGGTGGTTACACCAGTGGCAATTATTATCCTAGTTTGATGAACAAAACAAGTTATTGATTAGTTCCAACAGAGAAAAAAAAAAGAAATAAAAATAATGGTGATTACCTGTTAGACAACAAAATAAGAGTGACTAATAAAAGAAATCAATATTAAAATGTTATCAGCCACAGGCACAGTAATTGTCACATTAGTAACGTTGAATTTGAGAATCAGGGCTAAATCTTTCCTTTGACTTGAACACTCTGAGCCAAAAGGACAAAGGTAATCCAACTCTAACCAAATAAATAAAAAAGTTTAAAAAGAATACACTGATATTGTAAATGAGATTATTTTCTTGTTAAAAACTAATTAAATATGTTTATAGTCTTCCATAAATAAGACAATATTAATTTTTAGTCTCTTTTTCATGTAGCATTTATAAAACAAGACTGAGAATGGAAATAGTGTATTTATTTTTAAGTTGAAACCAGCATTCAACTTGAATCCTCCAGTATTTTTTTCTAGTTACATTGAACTTCATAGAAAGTTGTAAAACTTGAATGCAAACATCCTATGATAAATTTTCATTGATGAGAAACAAAAGAGAATATAGTTTTAGGATTAAAATGAAGCTTTACATAAGATTTGAGGAAAGTGAAAGTGATAGGAAAGTTAAGCAACAAATGTGTTTGAGATACCTCACTCATGGTAGGTCTGCAAGTTGCAGATGCCCGAATGCACAGGGAGGCAGCAAAGGCTACTCTATTAATCTGTGTCACATCATAAGCCCCTTTGCACACACACACACACATATATAAATGTAAGACAATAAGCAACATAAAAATAATGAATATCATACCAAATGATAAGCTTAAAATATGCATCAGAAACTTAAAATTGTAAACAAAGAAAAGAAAACAACCTTCTTCTGTGAATCAAAGTACATACTATAGGTGCCACAGAAGGAGCTTCACAAAAGCCTTCTTCCACCATTAACGATAATTTTTCTAATAACAGATTATGGAATGAACTTACCATTTCTTCTTCATGTCGTCGTGCTTTCTCAAGTGCCCTTTCTTCTCTTCTTTTTTTACCTTTTCAGTTTCTGCCTGCATTATGATTTTTACCAAGAACTTAGTGAATAAAGGGAAGACAAAGATAATGGTTAGTTGTTTGACAATTTCATCATTATAACTTAGTAAGGCTGGAAGGCAAGAAGCAAGAAGCTACAGCAAATATTTATTTAGTATTGCCTACAAAGTAGTAAATATTTATTTTATCTTTTGCAGAAAAATGCATATCTTCCATTCTCTCTGTCTCATTTTTTCAGCTTTAACTGAAAATGCATCAATAAAAAATTCTTGTGAAACATTATACAGTTCCTAAAATGGGAAGGACAAGTTATCACTAAGATCAAGCATATTCATACCTTAAGCAGATTTAGAACATCACCAGTTAAGAATAAAACCAACTACACAAATGTTTTATAGGAGATGCATGGACTATAATGAAAGACAAATCAACATGGGTTGAACTAGAAGTCACCATCATTCCTAAAAATCACATTACCAAGACTTAAAGACTAACCCTTTCATGGACCACAGTTACCCTCGCTGTAAAATAATATACCAAATCGATATTCTCTTGCAATATCCTTAACCAGTTACAGTTAGAAAAAACTTCCACAGATATGCATCTCTTAACCACAAAATCATTGAAGCATCATAAATACATGTAAATTGAAATCAATAATCAAGCATCAAAAAACTGTATTTATACATTTGGACTTCTCCAGGAGAAAATCACACTAAAGTACTAGATCAAAGACTATCACTGCCTCTTAGAGGACTCACAGCCTGAAGCCAGTTGAAGTTATTATTGCAAACAAATAGGCACGACCAATGTAGTGAAAACCAAGATCCTACCTGGGATGGGACAGGTATGCCCTTTGCAATTGAAAAGGTAAGAGGGAAAGACTCTAAAACTTCAGTAATAGCTAAAAGGTATGCCCTTCCCAAATTGTTGTGCTAGTTGCGTTTCCTTTGATTGATGAACCAATTATTAATTTGCTTCCATTGCAACCCTGTCTCCTCCACAAGTTTTACCTTGTCATCTTCCTTAAACAAAGAAAAATCAATGGGTTAGAATTCATCATAAAAATTTGAACCAGTCTTCCCATTCGCACGATGACCGGTACCGAATGGAGATGAGACAAAGCCTGATTAGATCTTCCTCTAGGGGAACCAGATTTGGGAAGAATGAAGAAGGAGGAGCAAAACCCCTCTCACCAGATCGGAAAATCGAAGGAAGAAAGGGAGGGAGCTCACAACGATGCCGGTTAGGTCAAAAGCCACTATTGTTTGTCGATGATGTGGTTTCGAATTAGCGAGATCTGAGCGGCGGCGGCGGCTTCAACAATTTGGCGAAGGTGTAGTCGTGGATGAAGGAGATACGGTGGCCGATATTGAAGAGGTGCGTTGGTGCTGGATATGATGAAGACAACAACTGCCGTGGATGGACGTGAAGAAAGGCCCTGACTCTCTCTTTCACGAGCGAAGAAGGAGAGAGGAGTGAAGCTGGTCGCACCGACGACGTCGCCGGACACCATGCTCGCCGCAAGCGATTCTTATTGGAGGAGTGTGCGATGGCCGACCTTCTCTATTGGTTTGAGGGTCATTTCATGAAAGAGAACAAGACGAAGCGTTAGAGGTTTCTTTAAAGACGAGCAAATGGGATAAAAAATATTAGCGCGATATAAAGCGGGAAAATGAAAAAATATTTTCACTTTACAGGCGGTTTTCACATACCGTCGGAAGTTTTCAGAGGTTATGACAACCGCCGAAAGTAAACCCCTTCTAAAATACATTATTTTTGTAGTGATATACAGACATTCTTGACTTAGTACACAAAGTTTCTTAAAAGTGAAATCTAGATTGTTGATTGATGGAAGAAGAAACAAACCATAACTAAAAAAACAGTGAAAAAAATGAAGAAAATGTGCATTATGCTTTTTGTTTTCACCCACTTTTCTCCTTTCAAAATCTCCATGCTTACCCACTTCTATGTTCATTCAAAGAAATTTTATTTCATATTCTATGCTATAGACTTCCATCATATTAGTTTAGAAACACTAAAAAAAATCATCAAATAACAAACTAATTTTAAAAAATAATAATTAGTTATATATTAACTAATTTAAATATATTTTATAAACTAAAAATTATTAATATCTAAAATAATTTCTATCATAAAATAAAGAAACTAATCGGTTCAAATTGAAAAACTCACCACCATGATCAATCTTACTGTCTCTGTTCTTCAATCAAGTGAGCAGAGGTTGATAACTTTTAATGAAAAGTGAGAGAAATCTAAAAAATAGTTTCTAAAGACATTATGTGCGTTAAAATTGTAAAACTCAATCATAACAAAATTATTTTATTAAAAAAATTTAATATTAAAATAATCGAATTTTTCACTAATTTTAAATTATTATCACTTTTAAAACGTCATTTTGGTATGTATATATTTAATTTTAAAATATTTATAACATCTAACAAAAGTATATATCTTATTAATAACAAGATATTGCAATAAATTTATTTTAGTATATAATATCTATAATTAAATTAATAAACACATTTAAATCATTCATTTAAGTCAATGTTAATTTTTAATTTTTATTATCAAATAATATATCTTTTTTGAAAAATCTCAATATTAATTAAATTTAACAATTTATTTAAATTATTATAAAATAATTTTAAAAATTAGGAATGTAATAAAATATTAATTATTTTTATTATCATGTTTTTATTTTCTAAAATTCTTATAATTTCAGTTTTTCATAAAATTGAAAAAATAGTTCAAAATTTGATTTTCAAATAAAACTGTAACCTATATTTTCAATACAATGTGAAAATATAGTCAAGAATTCAACTTTTTAAAAATGGAATTCTAATCATGAAAAGTGATGTTTGAGTAAATGATTTAAATAATGTCATTTACGAGAAAATATTTTTTATTACCATGCTGATTTGAAAAGAATTTCCTCAACGAAATCATGGTTCAGATCTCTAATTTCTTTGCATTACTTTGCTTGATGCTTTTTTCTTCTCTTTTTCATTGCTAAAGTGAAATTCATTTTAAAGTACCTCCAATAATGCGAAGTAATTTTGAAAAGAAAAAATAATCATATTTTTGAAATTTAAATGTCAGCTGTGGATTCTTACTGGCAAAAAGTAATGAATGAAACAACAACCATTTTGTTTTTTTATCGATGGAAGGTATGACCTTCAATCCAACACGCTTGTTCAGAAGGTATGAACCATTTTTTTCATTTTTTTCGTGTTAAAGAAGAATATTGTGTGTCCTTCCATCACATCACAGATGGAAAATCAAAGGAAAAGACTCCAAAGAATTTCAAATTGGATCTTTTGCTTAAAAAACCATAAATATTAATTGAAAAATCATCTATAAATCTGATTAAAATATAATATCAACCCTAATTCCAAACAAGTGTCTTACATACTGTTTCCTCGATATTATCGGATTACTTGTTAAAATATAAATTTAAAGTTTAATATGATGTTAAAAAGTTTTACATCTTATAATATATAAATAAATATAAATTTTATTTTATTAATTAATTTTTTAAAATTGAATTAAATTTAAAATATATCTTTTAACATATTTAAAATAAAGTAACAATTCATATTTTTTCACTTTTGTAAAACCATAAAAATACATATATTAAGGATATATTTATGCAAAATTATATGTGAACACTAGTATAGGAAATGAAGATAAAAGTTAAAATAGTTATAAATTAATTTTAACTAATACTAAAATTTAGAAAGAATTTACGTTTCATTTCGTTCAAATATATAATGGTTTTAATTAGAACTTAAGTATACAAGTTTTATTTTTATATGTTTAATTTTGATAATCGAATCCTTGTATAATTTTTTTTTTGCACTTTAAAATTTGTGATATTAAATTTTTACTTCTTTTATAAGAGTAACTTGTAGTTACTGTACATTTATTCGTATAAATTAAAAATTAGAGATTATTGTAACTAGTGTTCATCCTTTGTTTACATAAATTTTTATCATTTTTTAAGTAATAATTTATTATTTAAATTTAATAATTTTTAAATTAAAATGATTAATTACCATAAGAAAGGGGTATGCTGTTTTTACTAGTTTTATATAAATAAATCTAACTATTTCTTTTCACGTATAAAGTATGTACTGTGTTCCATGAGATAGATGCGTCTCTAAAAGATAATATCAATCACTTTCTTTTCATGGGTCATATCTTCCTTTTATGAATTAAGTGCAATATAGGACTCACAGTGACGATAAGCCATAACTGATGGCAGACATACCCCACCTGCAAACTTTTGGAAACACGAGTTTCGTGTGAAAAAGAGCATGCTCATCATCAGTATGTGTCTATAAATATGTGTCTGTGGTATGAACTAGAATCACACAAGAGAAGAAAAAATAAAAGCATTGAAGAATATCAGATAGAAGAATGGAGGTAGCCCAGGTACTGCGCATGAACGGTGGTGCTGGAAAAACAAGCTATGCAAACAACTCTTTTGTTCAGGTATATATACTAACAAGCTTCTCTCTTCATTCTACCCAAATCAAAATCTTCTTTTATAACATCATTTTTATTTATATATTAATCAATTTTATCATATTAATAAAATTGTTCAATTTTTTTTCTTTTTTTTTTTAATTTTATGGGGACTTTTTTTCATACATATTTCTTACTAAGAATTCATTTTTAATATCAGTGGTTATACTTAAGTCACAAAATTTAAGACATTTTGATTTAAATGTGTTTAGTCACAATTCTTCAATCAATTCACCCATCCATGTAAGAAAAAAAAGGAAGTACGATTTTAAATTATTTTTTTTTGCAAATTATAAATGTTATAGTTGCTGTTAAAAGAATCAATGTGTCAATTACCCTTGTAGAAACATGTTTGAACCCATAGATATTGTTGTGACGGATTTTAATTACCATTTTATTAATTTTAATCTAATGTAAGAAAACCAAATCGAAGCAAAAATTAAGAGATAGACAAATATAAACATAAAAATGAAAGAGTAAAAATATGTAATTTATTTTGTCCCAAAATATTGTATCTATAGGTTTTAAACCTAACGTAAAGTTCATATATTCGTTGTCTGATTTTAAAAAAAACTACACAAATAGTTCTTTTTACAGCAAAAAAAATTACAAAAGCATCCTTTTAATATTACATTAATTCAGTAATTAAAAGGTATGTGCTTGAGGTGTTAAAAAATAGGAGATAAAATTTCATCAACCAAATTATTTGTGTATTTTTTTCTAAAATTAATTGAAGTACGTATTGTAGTAACAGACGAAGTACTTATTTGTACTTGAAGTGTTAAAACAAAAGGAGATATAATTTCATGAAACGAAACAGAACATTATTGTAAGTTATTTTCAAAATTAACTGAAATACATGCATATGTTTCAACCACGTATTGTAGTAAAAGTTCGACGAGAAAGTAGTGATTGTTATGACTGCCATTGATTTACAGAAAAAGGCGATTAATTTATCGAAGCCCATAAGAGAGGAAGCCATTACTAGTTTGTATAGCAGCACACTCCCGAGAAGCTTGGCAATTGCAGATTTGGGTTGCTCTTCTGGACCAAACACTTTCTCTGTGGTGTCTGAACTCATCAAGGCCGTGGAGAAGCTTTGTCGGAAGCTGAACCATAAATCTCCACAGTACAGGCTGTTTCTGAACGATCTTCCTGGGAATGACTTCAACAGCATCTTTAACTCCCTTGACAGCTTTAAAGAGAAATTGCAAACAGAAGTGGAAGGTGGGATTGGTCCATGCTACTTCTCCGGAGTTCCGGGTTCTTTCTATGGCAGGGTTTTCCCAGATCAAAGTCTTCATTTTGTTCATTCCTCTTACAGCCTTCAATGGCTATCTAAGGTACATGTGTATTTAGTAGCTGTGGCTAGTATGATATACATGGAATGGAAGTAATAACTGTGATTTATTGATGATTGATAGGTTCCTGAGGGTATAGACAACAACAGGGGGAACCTTTATATAGGAAGAACAAGCCCACCAAATGTTGCGAGAGCTTACCACCACCAATTTCAAAGAGATTTCTCTAGTTTTCTCAAGTGTCGTGCAGAGGAACTGGTTGAAGAAGGTCGTATGGTTCTCACAATTTTAGGAAGAAGAAACGATGCCGAGGATCCGGCAAGCAAGGAAGGTGGCTACCTTATTTGGGAGCTTATGGCTATGGCTCTTAGTGAAATGTGTGTGCAGGTAAGGACTTGATGGTATGCTTTGTATATTCAGCGCACTTTGGATACTGATTTCGCAACATATACATGAATATATGCAGGGAATAATAAAGGAAGAGGAATTGGATAGTCTTAACATCCCACAGTACACTCCATCACCATCTGAAGTGAAATTGGAAGTTCTTAAAGAAGGGTCGTTTGTGATCAATCGTGTAGAGGTGTGCCAGGTGAATTGGAATCCTCTTGAAGATTGGAACGCTCTTGAGTTTGAATGTGAAAGGTCTGAATCACTTCGAGACAGTGGATATAACCTCGCACAGTGCATGAGGTCTGTGGCAGAACCTATTCTGGTTAGCCACTTTGGTGAACATATCATTGAAGAGGTTTTCAGCCGTTTCCAGAAAATTCTGACTGATCGTATGTCTAAGTGTAAAACTGAGTTCAGCAACATTACGATATTGATGACTAGGAAAGCATAAGCAAGAAGTTTGCATGTAGGGTTTCTCAAATGCATTATATTGTAGTTGTCGTGAGTTCATCTCTTACCTTCTTCCACGGTCAACTAGTCAAATGTTGGGATGAAGAAAAATAATTAGTATAGTAGTGTTGGGTTTTTTCGTTTAGATATATAATCATCTTTTTGAGAGTTAGTATCTATAATTTCTTTCACCATGTCTTTCAATTTTACTACTAAATAATCTTATAACTCTATGAACCAATTTTACCAGTAAAAATATCTTATAACTCCTTCTATATATAATAATTGCGTTGTTTCATTTTCATTGTTCAATGTAACCAAACAATAATTTGATTAAACTCAACAAACTTTTGAGTTGGTCTTGGAAATGACATTACGGTGCTCTAAACCACACAGACATCCCAACGGGATAAAAATGGACCATAACTTGTCTCCCGTTTTAAAAAGGCGTGGTCTATCTACATCCTCCAACTGTTTCTCATATTTGACACTTGTGGGAATCCTGTGGTCAGTGTAATACAGTTTTATAAACATTTTAAATCGTGACAAGCATTCTAAATGTTGGCTTTATGAGTGATTAAACCATTTTTTTCTGAAAAGAAAATTTATCTTTTAAACATTATTTTTGGATTATCTTACATGATTAATAGTTATGTTAAATAGCATCCACATTTTAAAACATTACATATTCCTCTATATTTTATTATAAAAATAATATTCACACACTCTACTTTTAAAACAATTTATTTTGGTGTTTGTAACAAATAATATTGATCTCACCGCTTGACAACATGTCGCAACCGGAATCGCGACGGGACGACGATCCAAAAAAGAAAAACGTGTTTTTGGAAAAAGATTTGGAGTCGCCACCATAGTTTATTATGGGAAACTACG